GGAGATGCGGCTCATTGCACGGTAATTTCATTGCAACGGACGAGACCCCTCGTTGTACGTTCGTGGCCCCCGCCGAATTTGATTTATCGTGTAACGTGCCTGTCTCGCGAGGACGTAGATCCGCTCTTTGTGCGTTTACAGTTGCGGAACATCTATCAGTTTCCTAATATAATTGAGCGCATTATTAATTCATGCACAAGCCAATTAAAAAAAAAAAAAACACAACTGTTTAATCACAATTTGAATATACATTATTCGTCATAACATAAAATAAAATATAATAAAGTCGATTGTAAAAGATGTTTGCAATTATCTATCTATTGCCTCTATTTTTAGTTTCTGTATAGTAATTGTGTAATTTTTAACTATAGTTAATTTTTGATGTATACGTAATAATTCGGAGCTGATTTTTTATCCATAAATAAAATGTATTTGATCAATTTTATGGTATCAAGTTCGAATTTCGAGCAGCGATCATCAAAGTATTTTTAAATTGTTGAGATCACAGAGTTGCAGATAATAAATTCGTGTAAACAAACGGTTTTTCTCTCTCTTCTTTTTTTTATCTGTATTATTGTTATGCACTTATCGCGTTTTCATTTCTCGTTGCTTATAAATTTTAATTCTAATGTTAAAGCACACTATTAAGAATGGATATAAAATTTGAAGACGATGGTATCTCAACGTTTAGTACGCAATTCAAATGTTTACACACGGACATTTTACCAATAAAATGTCCATGTAATTGCGATGCATTACGTTAAACTATTCTATACACCGTAACGAGTAGAGAGTGACACGAGACAATTCTTATTATTACAAATCCATTACAGTTGCGGCGTGATAAAATTGGATCCTTGACAATTTTACCCCAATTGCGAATCACTCGATCCGATCCATTAACCGACAGAGAACGAATGCTGTTAAAACAGACAATGTGTACCGAAATTATAACGCGTTATCATGCATTGTTATCGAGTGTCCTTCAATTATATGGTGAAAGCGGTTGTAGCATTTGAAGGATAGTGATGGAGACCTTTTCTACAATCGACTTTGTTCAACAGCTGACTTTATCGCTTTCACGAAAAACTGGGAAAACTTGGAAATACGACGAATTGCTGAAATTATATGGTTCTTCTTGATACTAAGATAAATGTCGCCATTAAATTCGAATCTTTCAATCTTAGTCATTTATCTAACTTAATATCAAACTTTATAAGTTAACGGTTAACTACATTACACTGAAAAAAAAAACTAAATATATATTTGAATGATTCCAAATATTCAACTAAATTTAAACATGTACTTATTTGATACAAAAACCGTTAATTTATGATTCAACTATCGTTTTTTTTTATCGAGTAAATATTTATTTATTGTAAGTAAACATTTATTTTGTATTATTTAAAGAAATATATATTAAGATTTAGTTTTTTTTTTTTTCAGTATACAGTATCGAGAAATCGCAAGAGATTGAAATTGTATTGCATTTTTGCACTCTCTAGACATAATTTTATTTAATTTTATTCAGCATGCTATGTATGCACTATACAGTATTGAAATTAAAAATCCACTGCGTCTTTAATTTTCCAAGACTGAAAAAGTGAAGGTCTTAAAAAGATTCAAGAATTCCAATTTCTAATATAGTACGTTTGTGAAATAAGTTATTGTTGTATTCGACGCTTTATACGTATATTCCGGATCCGAGAACTGAGGCGTGATCCTCTTTGCCAAAAGTCGCACCGCTGTCATTGCCATTGTCGTCGTCCTCGTTGGGGGTTAGTCCGCTCGCTTTCTCATTCGTCTCGACGGAGACGCTCGATTATCGCATGCCCCACGACCCGACCAACGCCATCAAACTCCCGAGCCGCCGAGATCGAAGATCCGCGGACGTTTCGGGCGGCCGTGCACGCCCGGCCGTAACGAGCCGGCGAACGCGAGCGAGCAAAGGTACGAGAGAGACAGACAGACAGACAGAGAGAGAGAGAGAGAGAGAGAGGGTGAGAGAAAGGGACGCGTGTGCGCGCGTGGAAACGCTTGGAAGTCATTGGTGTCGATGCCGTTGTGAGTACCGAGAGAAACGAGAGAGAGAAAGAGAGAGTGAGAGAGAGGGTGTGTGAGTGTGCGTATCGGGGGTTGGGGGTGGTCGATACGGCCCTGGGGCCGCGACAGCCGCGTCGGAGGCCTCCCCATTCTTCCTGCAGGCGTTTTTGCCTCCGCCACGTTTCAGCCCTCTCCACACAACCCCTTTCCCTGACCGCGCCATCCTCCTTCCTCTCGGTTCTCTCTTATTCTCTCTCTCTCTCTCTCTCTCTCTCTCTCTCTCTCTCTCTGTGAATTTTTTTCTCTTCCTTTCTCTTTATCTCTCCCTTTCTTTTTCATCCCACTCTTGTCGCTCTATCTCTCTCCCCCCCCTCTTCCCTCTCCCCCCTTCTCTCTTGCTTTCCTTGTCACACTCTCAATCCATCCAGCCTGATCTACCATCTCACCCTCCGATTCTCCACCCACGCAACGCGTTCCAG